ACCTCAATTTCCAGATGTTGATTGAGGGACTGAGAATACAAGAGTGGACAAAACAGTTGTGGTCACAAACCAGATAACACATTCTAGTAAGTGTGAACATACCAAGGAGAGAGAGGGGAAAAATCAGTAAATATGCATCTCTTCTCATATCTATTGGCCTTTTTATTTATTCTTTGAATTTCCAGGCTTTTTTATTTAAAAAACGTGTTTTCCCACTGGACTGTATCTTTTTATTTATTTTTTTTTGTTGGTTTAATATAATCATTTGTATGTGTCATGTCTCAGACATATACTTTTGTGTTTTATACAGTCGTTCATATACTTTATATAGTTAATTACCATTGCTATATGTATACCTACGGAGCTCTGGTAGCCTAGTGGCAAGAAGCTGTGCTGCAATATCAAAGGCACAGTTCGAGGCCACCAGCTGCTCTGTGGGAGAAGGATGGGCAGTCTCCTCTTATATGGTTAACTGCCTCTGAAAACCTGCTTGGGCTGGTCAGCTGTTGGTTGGTTCCAACTCTGTGGTACACAACAAAAACAACTATGCCTTTTGGCAGCATCATGATAGACAATGAAGAGACTGAGATTGTAAACAGCTTCACTTTGTTTGTTTGTTTTTGTTCCACAATCAGAACTCCTGGTACCAGCAGCCAGGAAATAAAATGGCAAATTGCATGGGGAAAGTCAGCTGTCAGGGACCTCTCCAGAGTACTGAAGAGTAACAGTGTCGGTCTGGAGACTAAGGTGCATCTGACCCAAGTCATGATCTTCACAATTACTTGCTATGCATCAGAAAGCTGGACAGTGATGAGGGATAATAGAAGGAGAATTGATGTCTTTGAGCTGTGGTGCTAGAGAAGAGTATTGACAATACCATGGACCTCTAGGAGAACAAACAGGCTCATCTAAGAGAAGGTGAAACCAGGGGCTGCTCCTTGGAGGCAAGTATTCTGAAGCTCCATCTGACATACTCTGGACATGTGGCAAGGAGGGGCCAGTCCTTGGAGAAGGAAATCATGCTTGGGAGGGTGGAGGGATAGCACAGGAGAGTAAGACCCTCAATGAAGTGGATTGACTCAGTGAGTGGGGTGATGGGAATAGGTGTGTCGGAGACAGTAACGTTGGCTCAAGATAGAGCAGAGTTCAGAGCTGTTGTACATAGGGTCGCTGTGAGTCACAAGCAACTCAGTAGCACATAACAACAACAACATAGTATTGCATATCATTAGCCAATATTTTCCTTTGTGTAACATGGCTTGAAATTCTTTTTTAAAATTTTATTTTTTGTTATTTATAACTTGAATCAGAGAATGACGTTATAGTGGTGACATTTTCCTGGTTGTAAAAGCTCTTATTTGGGACAAAAGGAGACCATGGAGAGTAGGCCATGCCAATTTTGTGAATTTTGGAGTGAGATAATCCACATACTCAACACCTTAATGGATTATTTTATGATGTCTAACTCATAGTAAATATAAAAACCCCTCAAATCCATTGCCATCAAGTCAGAACTGACTCATAACTAACCTTCCAGTAGGTTTTCATCTTTCTTTTGTGTGGAACAACTGGTGGATTTGAACCACCAGATACACTTGGCCTTTGACAGCACACTGCCCTCCAGGTTAGGCCACGGGATATCCCTCAATGGTTTTAAAAACTAGTATTTGGCTTTTGATATTTTACTTTATGAATCTTTGAAAAAAATCAGCTAAAATCTCATGACTAAAATATAGGCATTTTTTTAATCCTATATGTTCACTTTTTCTTTCCCTTCTTATTGTATTTCTTTATTCCTATTGCTTGCTACAAAGTTTATAACTGAATCTAAGTGTTATTAACCATGAAAATCAGTATTCAGGTGGGAAATGAGTAGAAAGATAACCTCTTTCCTCTTCAGTTTCGATCATCTGAAGTACAGCTCTACTATCTAGTTTCTTGTTACATATTATTCCTAGTGGAGAACCCCACCTAATTATAAGCATCTTGAAGGCAGGGACTGTAACATTGCATAGCTAGTCCTATTGCATGCCTGTTATTGGTCCAATACTCAGTAAATATTGAATGAAAGAACAGATGGCTGCTTAATACTTGAAATTGTTTATGATGATGTTATCTTTCTCAAGACTATGATGAAAAATGTTATTTGTTTATGAATTATTTTAATGTCTCAAAAGTTAGTCTATAAATAGATATTATCATCTTCATAATCATTTATGTGTCTCATATTTCCCTTGTGTTTTTAATGTTACATGATTGCAGAAAAATTGTATTTTTTCTGTTACTGGTGGTCTTCTGATTTTGTATTAAACATCTTAGAGCCATCTTTATGCATGTACATAGCAACAAAAACAACAAAAGTATTAAATGAATATAGTTACCTCTATCATCTCTATCTCTATATATGTCTATCTATACATATCCATAGGAGTGGCATTCACTTCCTAAATACCATGCCTCCAGAAATCTTATGAACTTTGGTAAGTGTTGATAGTTGTAGAAGGGCTTCAAGCCTTTTGTTCTTAGGGTCGCTGTGAGTCATGCTTGACTCGAAGGCAAACAACAACAACAAATCTATCTCCAACTCTCTGTCTCTCTCTACATATCTTCTTGTGTTGTAATGCACCATTGAGTAAAAACTGACCCATAGCTGACCCTCCAGTGGGTTTTCAGAGGCAGTTTAATCACATGGGGGGAGATTGCCCATCCTTCTCCCACTGAGATGGATATATAATGTGTATATATAAATCCTACGAACAAGTATTAAATTTGTATAGCTTGTATCTTCTGTGTATGTATAAACATGTGTACCATTCCTCAGTAATGTAGATAACATTTTAAGGAAGTACTCGGTGATTTTGATGCACACTTCAATTCATGATCTCTTTAGTGAACATCTAGTGGAAAAGACAGACTTTTGAGCACATTATTTTGTTCACATTGTAAGTGACATGAATGTATTTGTCTCTGCTCAGTATCACATGTGGCTACTAACAGTTATCCCATTCTGAAGTGGAAGGCTAGAATGTTATATATACTTTCTTCTCAGGTTATAGAAAAATTCTATTGAGTTATACAGGTTACTAAATTTTATTAAGCTTCACTTTAAGACTTTTCATATAGGCATTACAAGATTACACTGTGGAGAATTATCATGGGCAAGCACTTAAGAATAATAACTCCTTGCTCTTCTCACTGCTATTAAGTCAGCTCTGTCTCATAGCACCCCTTTGTCAAGTTTCTGAGGCTGTAAATCTTAATGGGAAATGACTATCCATCTTTTTCTTGAGGAACCATTGGTAGATTTGAACTATTGGAAATGTGTGGCATTTTGCAGAATACATGATGCACTATGAAATAACTTCTAAAGAAATATTATTTGTATCAGTAGTATTAATACTATTAGTTTGAAATAGTGATTAAAATTTGCCAAGGTCATTCTTTCATATACAAGAAAATGCTAATAACACACTGCAATAACAACTTTCAGAACAAACACCTGCTAAAAGTGTGAATTCCTTTACACTTATAAGGCACGTAGCCACAACAACAACAATGGAGAACTGATACATGAAAATTATTCCAGGGTATTACATGTGATAACTCTCTGCTCACTGCCTTTGAGTCGAAATGGACTCAGCTGATCCTGCAGTGGGTTTTTCAGAGGCTGTAAGTCACGTGAGAGGAGATTGCCCATCTTTTCCCACAGAGCTGCTGGTGGATTCAGACTGTTCAGGGTTAACACTGCTCCCTACAAACAACGCCACGAGAACTCTCTCTAATATATATTCTACATCATACTAAAATTGAACTTAAGTATCATTATTTTCTAAGTGTAAATTATTGTCAGAAATAATAAACCTTTGTATAAATCCAATATATTATGGAAACAAGTGGTCTACTGAACAAGCTATTCTTTTACCCATAAGGATTTTCTTTAGAATTTTATGTAAAGTCCAAAATTAGTGCTATCTTTAAAATATAGTTTAATAATGTAACTTTGTGTTTACCAAGTGAAATTGATCCACCAGGAAAATGGGTGCTTATAAGCACTTAAGTTTTAAGCTTTATTTTCTCAGGTAACAGTATCTCTGATTTCATAACCGCTGTGATCCTCATGATCCTCCAAAAACCAGCAAGCAAAAGCAGCTGGTAATTCTGTTTCTGTGTACAATAAGTTTCTTAACAAAATACTTTTCCTGTTGTATTCTACAACAGCTTTCATTTGATTAGGCGTTCTGATTTGTTAAGAGTTCCAGTCATATGCTGAAGATAACGATTTTATTTCTAATGATGTGTAAAGAAATATTGACTGTGAAAATATTCATTTAAAAATTATCTGTGGCCATGAATGTGTAATTTCTAGTGGATTTAACTTTCACTTTATCCTTTAATTTTTGTATGTAGTCTTTTATTTTATGATGGTTCTACCTGGTCTGTGTATCTAATTTTAGATTATTAAATGCCCTAAGAATAGCTAAAGCATACCCACTTATTTGAATGTCTACAGGTTTTTCTGTGAGTGCAAACAGAGAGAATGTTTTGGTTTGGGGGGGGAAATTTTTCTACTCAGCAGGAATAGATAGGTGTAGGTAAAAGTCAGTATGCATTCAAATTCTTCAAACTGTTAATCCCATATGTGTGAAGAATCTTTAGTGATTTGAAATTCCTAATGTTTCTTTTAGAGGTTTAATGCGTTCATTATAGTTTCTAGGTCCTTCCCTTGTAAAATACAAATCAAACACTATCTCTCTTTAGAGATCACTCGGCTACATAGTATTAGTGTATTTTCAGAGACTAACGTATTAATATAGGGGAGTAAAGAACACTTTTTTTTTTGCATGAGGAGAAGGAGGAGAGGTGGTGGTCGACAGAATGAAACAAGGTTAATAGATTTGCATTTAAGCAGTTTGGGTAATTAAAAGTACATTGAATCTAATGAAATCTAGCATTTAATTTTTCTAACACTACCTTTTTCATTTTTCCTCTGCTTCTCATAGGAAACCAGTTTCCACCAATTGCAGCCCAGGATCTTCCTTTTGTTTTAAAGGCTGGCTACCTTGAAAAACGCAGAAAAGGTAAACAAGATTGTGATTTTGATAAGAAATCTGACAATAGTTTCCCTTTAGAGAAAAAAAAAACCCCAAATAATGTTTGCAACATGCATGTGGAGTTGGCATTCTCTTTAGGTGCTTGTGAAGGGTTTTAAAACGAAGAAAATCTGAGTGACATTATTCAAACCACAATATACAGCTTTTAGCTTTAATAACCAAACATTTGGTCGGGTTTTTCGTTGTCAGCCCTGGTTATTTATAAGTGGTTCAGAAGCTGCTTCCTGTAGGAAGGCTGTGGGCCATGACTATGTTTCGGGGATGGGATTTCTCACCATTCTCCCACCCAGCTGAACAGCAGGTTACCCTGCACCTGACCTGGCATGCACCGTGTCTGCTATGGTTCAGATCAAACCTGGCATATTGTCTGCCATTTTCTATTATTCATTTCGGTGTTCCTCTCCATTGGCTGTGATAATTGGGAGTTGACCATATGGTCTCACTCTTTCACCACTAATATACAATGGAAATGAAATATGGAGGTGGCGCTGTGATAACAGGAAATGTAAAGCAGAGTCTCTTCATTACTGTTCTGTTTATCTCTTAGCAGTCCTTTGGGTCTTTCTATTTACATTCCATTCTCTTTTCTTAGCTTTCTTAGCTGGATTTTAAAGCCAAAAGAGATAATAGAAATAATCGAGGTCAGCTCCTCCCCCTCCCTTTCATAACAGATGAAAAAATGAGATCCAGAGAATCAGTTATCTCAAGGCTGTCCAGTCAGGTGCCTGTTTTGACTATCTCTGTCAGCAAAGTTTGTTAATTCTGCCATTTGATTTCCTAAGTGTGACAGCCCCATGCTTGCTTTGTTTTATTCTCTTGGAATAAAAGATAGAAATTAACTACTATTAGAATTTTAGAGCAAAAAAGAACATTAGGAATGGTTTCTATTATATGTCAGGAAGTGCATTACATTTATATATGCATTATGTATTATCTAACCTGATTTTTCTCCCGTTATTGTAGATCATAGTTTCCTGGGATTTGAATGGCAGAAACGATGGTGTGCACTCAGTAAAACAGTGTTCTATTATTATGGAAGTGATAAAGGTAGTTTGGGTATTTAATTATATATAATTCTTTTGCTTGTGGGTGGTTTGGAGTTCCCTCTCCCCCCCCTTTTTATCTCTTTTTTTGGTACAGAACATATTCTGTCAACTGAAGACAATGACTTAAGAACAAATGAAATTTTTAAAAAATGAATCTAAGATTAATTTATAGTTCGGTCTCATATGTTGACAAATTCTCTGAATTTAAAAATACTCTAAAAAGTTACTATTTTATTAACTTGTAAGAGTAAAATTTTATTGCGTTAAGGAAGAGAATGAGATAACTTTTGTCTGTGTGACCTTTCTCCTTAGGAAATATTTATCATTCAGATTAGAATTACAGTTTCTGGAACAGTTAAGACTATAGAGTTTGTATGAGTTTTGAAGTAAGAAGATTTTTTTCCCTTCAATATCCCTATGTGCTGCATAGTGCTATAAGCCCTATAGTTACATGATTTAATATAACATAATTAACTGTAGTTATATTAACTCATATTACTGACCATAAAGGAGCTCTGGTGGCCTAGTTTGTAGGGATTTGTTCTGCCTTGCCTTCTTGTCATTTGAATCCACTCGCTGCTGTGCAGGAAAAAGCATAAACTCCTGTGAGATTTATCGACTTCAAAACCTGTTGGAGGGTCAGCTATGATTGACTCAATGGCTGTGAGTTTGAGTTTAAAGCTTATAACAATCCTATTTAATTAAGTACCACATTACTACATCCATATATCTTACAGTTAGGACAAGTGAGGACAGAGGTTAAGTAACTTGTTCAGTGTCACAGAACAAGTAAATGGCAGATCTGGGATTTGAACCCTGGCAGTCTGTTTAGAGTTCCTGTTCTTAATCACTATTGTCATTTTATTAATTTTAGAAACAGGAAAGTACATCTTGTTAACTTCATTTTCTTCTTAATAAGTCTGTTATTCATAGTTTACATAATTTTAAAATAGTATTTGGGCAAATAAAACCTTAAAGTATTAAATTTTTAAAGTAAGACCTTCTGTTTGCATTTTAAAAGTCAGGTAAATCCATTATTGTAGAATGAGTATAAGGATCCAAGGAGGGTGGGGGAGGGATGAGGATGGGCAGGGGGAGGAGGGATTAATCATGGGTTGTACAGTTTGATGGCTGGGGGGAAGGAAATAGAAAGAATCTTTTCTCGAAAACAATGTACTCAAATTTTGTAAATAAATTAGTATAAAACCATAAAAGTCAGTTAAAATTATATATTGTGTCGAATTATGAATAGTGTAGAAATATGTAACACTTGTTTCCAGAAAGGGCATTTTAAGAACATAAAAAAAAAGACAAAGAAAAACCCGATATCACTGAATATAAGATTTCCTATGAAATTGCTACTTATTTGTGTTACTTGGAATTTATGTTTCATTTGGCAGTGTTTATAGTTTTTGGTTTTTTCCCATTGCATTATGAAAATATTCAGATAAGATTATTGTATCTAAGATAAATTTAATATACTTACATAATGCAAGAAATTGGTCTAACTTTTTAGATAATGGGACAAACAAATTAAAAATTAATCTAATGGCTAGTTTACATCCTGTTATTAATTTATAGTGTACTGAAATGTAATAATGGTATCAGTGAAGTGTAAACTGTTAAAGACTAGAAACAGGCAGGATTCTTCTTTCTGCTAAAGATAAGTAGTTGATTTTGTGAAAAATCTTTATATTTTAAGTTCAGTTATGATTACCACAAATCATAAACATGTAATTAAGGTGTTTCTATTATAGAAACATAATTTTGCTTAATAGAATGAATTTAGAGAAAAATCTTAGTTGACACGCACACACACACACACACACACACACACACACACACACACAAACATATAACCTTTTTTTAAAAAAATTTCTTTTGTGTGTTGCTAGATCACAAAACTAGGAATGGGAGGTTTCAAATGCTTGTCACTGAGGCTTCTTGGTTCCAATTTCCCTAAGAATCAGTGCTGATGTAGTGCCTCCTCTCCTAGTCCTAGGTGGCATATAGCAACTGTTAGGTCAGAAGTCACCCAGAGTTACCCCACAACTCAGAGGTCCTTATGTGTGTTTCAAAGGGTAATATTCAGTAAAGTAAGGAAATTCTAGTTAGTTTCTTGAGCTTATCATGATATTATCATTTTTATTATTATTTGATGTGATCTCTTGAAGAAAGCATTGCTTATAATATGTATTTTAACTAGTTTATGTTCCATACAACATCTCCCCAGCACACACACTCTTTCAAAATGATACTTCTCACATTGCTTTTTCTGTTGCCATTTGAAGATCTAGTAACTCCTCCTTATCTTTTACTATGAAGCCTCCTGTTTTCCAGAGAGATGTCAGAGCTGCTTCCCCCCCCCCCCCCGCCCCTTTTGGCTAATTTCTTTGGAATTTAAGGCCAGCCCTATTTGTTTCAGAGATTTAAAAAAAAAAGTTTTTTTCTAGATAATTTTTAACTGCTTGTTTGACATGATCCTGACTTTTTGTATCTTTTTCTGTCCAGAAAAATGTGACATAAAATTTATATTTTCTGTTTTTGAAATGAGAGAGCTGATTTCTGACAGCCTTGTTAATTGTATATGTGAACCATTTACCCAAACTTTGGCAAGAGCTATTTAGATATATGAGAACTCTAATCCTCCAAATAAGTAGGCTGTAGATAAATGGATTAGAGAGGCATTGAAGGAGTTGATACCACTTACTCGGTTAAACCGTACTTTGTTACTATTTGACAGATACATAGTCCACATTTTCTACCTTATTGTGTGTGCCAAAAAACATATTGACCCATCATAATAGTAATGGCTTACAAAGAGTAGTTTCAGCCTCCAGGGTAAATAATGCACTTACCTTTTATACTCATAAATATTGTCTATATTTATTATTCATAGCCGTTTGGGGCCTTAAGTGAAAAAATAGATATACAGTACATATTTTACCACTTTATGAAATAGCATCTATTCTTTTATCTCCTTCCTCTTCCTTTGATTGTCATGTCTCATTCATCAAACTTCTTAAGTCTTTGATGTACAGACTTCTGTTAAAGGCATTAATTCACTCACTCATTCATTCACTGTTTTTCTTTTATTCAGTAAACATTTACTGGACAATTACTTGGTACATAGGAGGCACTGGGAATCCAAAGCTTAGAGGTTATCATTGTTTGTTTATGTGAATATCAGTGAAAGAGATGATGACTGGGGCTGTGTGTGCAGTCTAGTATGTGAGTTTATGAAATGTCTTTAGAGCCCAAAGGTTGGATGAGCACCTGCCTAAGTGAAGAAAGAAACATGTCTTAATGGAGGAAGGCCTACTTTGTTGAGTCTTAGCAAATAAGAGTTCATCAGTGAAGAAGGACAGAAGCGGCAGAGATTCTGAGTTATGAAAGGCCAGGTATAAGGTCAAGATTGGCCATGTCAGGTTTTAGGAGGTAGTTGTGCTAATCTGTAAGGGAGTATGGATTATAATGAATGAAGGCTAGGTTCACTGGATGACTTAGGGAGGACTGAACTAGTTTAGTCAGGAAAGGTTAGCACAGGATTGTTAAGCAGCATAGTTCACAGCAGACGTTTAATGCAGACTGCCTTGGGTCCAAAGTCACAACTTTCCAGAACTCAATGATTATTATCAATCACTCAAAACAAGCTTGGAAGTCATTGTTGTTTAGGAAACTATTCCAAAATAGTTTTAACCTAGGTATGAACTTAAATCCACATTATGAACTTTGACTCTTCTCCTCCTGTGTAGTAAGAGGGTTAGCTTATAAAATCTTCTTTCTCCTTACTGGTTTTCAGGCTTTCCTCTCTCCCTCCACATACTCTAATTATTAAAGACTGTGCCGGGCCATCCAGGGTGTGGCCGCTGGAAAGAGCTCTCTCTGTTTGACTCTGCCAGGACATTCTAAATTTCTATAAAATAATATTTATTACATCGCTTGGCTGTAATTTTTTCATTGTAGTATCTTTATAATGGTAAAATTTAAGTTAGTAGAAAATTGCATTTAATATAGATAATTTAATATAAGAGAACTTCCAGGACTTGACAGGGAAATAAATTTTTTTCATTCAAATTGACCTATTTGAACTCTCTCTTCCCCTTAAAATGTCATTATTAATAGAACAGGAAAGGACGTATGTGTTAAGTTTGGATGAAAGTGATAAAGTATGTTTCAAAGTTGAAATAGCATCATTGTAAGGGAGCTCTTATAAGCTGTGCTGCAATCCCGAAGGCAGGCAGTTTGAATCTACTAGATGCTCTGCTGGAGAAGGTGGGGCAATCTCCTCCTGTACCAGTCAGATCTGATATGATGGTGTTCAAACACACACACACACTCACTCTCTCTCTCACAGACACACACACACACGCGCGCGCGTGCACTCAGAAATAGTGTCATGGTTCTCTTTCAGTATTATAAAAGTGGCAAGTGTTTGAATAATTATAAGTTTTATTGTTTTATGTATTTAACAACAGCCTATAGTTTTATTTAATAGAGACAAATTTCCCTGCTTAAGGCAATGCACTTTATAATTATAATGAAATATATCTCTCTATATAAATACAAGTATATACAATGTGTATATGTAGACTTTAGGGAGCTTAGTGATAAGGAGTTGTGCTGCCAACCCAAAAGCAGGAGGTTCAAATCCACCAGCTGCTCTGCTGGAGGAAGATGGGTGGTTTCTCCTCATTCAATTCACTCTCCCCAATGAGGAGGTTCTAAGTGTTGTGTAACAACAGTAACATGAATATATTCTATATCTCTTTCATTGCTCTCATGCTGGGATGGACTCATAACTGTCCTTCTGTGTCTGTAAATTACATAGAAGGAGATAGCACATCTTTCCCCCGAGGAGCTGCTGAAGGATTCAAACCACCAGGAAGGTTTGACCTTTGGGTTAGCAGTGCAACTCCCTACAGACTACGTCACTGCTCTTTATATATGTTGTTGTTGTTATGTGCCATTGAGTCGCCTGTGACTCACAGCCACCCTATG